AAAAAAAAAAAATTAGCAATGCTGGAATAGACCTGATGCGTAAAGGCGGAGTTAGAGGGCAATGGTTTTATATCACCTGGACAGGCATGAGTGAACCTTTTGTGCATTTTACGTTGCAAATTTTAAATAAACAAAGGACACCCTCGGTGATACCCTACCTGCAGTGTATAAGGTCAATCGGCCTGTAATGTGTTATTAATTTTTTTTTTTTATATTGGAATGAGACTGTGGAATTGAATACTTGCTTGCATGTTAATACATCTGCAGTCCAGTCAAACTGACGTTTTTATTGCTCGTGACTTGGCCTATTTGGCCTATTTGTCATACTGGTGAGTCCTGTCATCTGATCCTCATCTTCTTCACTGACCAAATTATTTCCAAACTCCCCCCCCCCCCCAACTCAACCTCCTCCTTCCCCCCCCCCCCCCAAAAAAAAAGACGTGCTGTGAAATCATTCCCTTTCACTCCGTCTTTCTATCGTCTAATCCGCCCTTGGGCAGATCAGCGACATTTAACGCTTTGGCCTGTCCCTCTACCCTACAAACCTAAATATGGAATAGCACGATCCGTTGCCCCGTTATCTATCCCTCACAATAACCGCTTCTACACGTACCGTTCTAAATTCAATCAATAGGTACGTGGTGTCAATGAAATTATCGGGAGAGAAAGGCATGACAAGGCCTGACATACATTTCAGAATTTTTTTTTTTCTTTTCGGTGGAAAGAAGATGGGATCGGGTGACCCTTTACAAACCAAATATTATTGAAATGAGATAGTGAACCCTGGGGTGGAGGCTGGTTTCAGGTTGAGTTGGGGGAGGCTTAAAGGCACAACCTCATACTCAAGTTGACTATGTTGTTGTGGGTTTGTCTTTGTGTGATCTTCAAGCAGTTTTGAGACAACTGAAAAATTAAATGTATTTGAAAGCCATGAGGTATCCACTTTATATTTATTTATTTATTTATTTAGTGCTGATTTTAGAAATATGTCCAATAACCGCAAAATGAATTCAGGGTCTTTTTTACAGAAATTTTTTGGAGAGTTTATTTCCAAAATGCGATATACGCCTTTTTCTTCACTTTAGAATCCTGTTCTCTGCTAGCTGCCTGAATGGAATTTCAATGCCTGATTTTTACTTAAACACAACTTAAAAATACCGTAACGTGAAAACTGAGGTGAAGAAACAGCTGTTGTACTGGTTTGATTCTTTAAAGTTTCATAATCGTGCAAAATTTTCGCCTTTTTCAAATAGAAATGTCTCATCATGGAAATGAACTCTTCATTTTGACCAATGAAATAAGTACCTGCATCAATGCCAATTAATTAATTGTTCAAATAAATCCCAGCATAAACAAGAAACCTTTTGTAATTGTTTTCTGTTTTCTTTGTTCGGCTGAAACTTTGAACAGTATAGAGGTTTTTCCCCACTTTCATCATCTGAATAGGGCATTCAACGTAAATTTTCGCCTCATTTTTCTTTCTTTTTAATTTTGGGTTATCTCTGTCTAATGGCAGATTTTCCTGTGGTTTGTTGTCGTTCTTTCTACTCTTATATATATTGTATCATCTGTAAAAACCATCATCAGATAGAATAACAAATTTCCGTCCACCATAGTCCAACTCCTATACCAAAATAATTAGTTGGTTTGTATGCTCTCAGCATATGGTCCCCTAAGAATAATATGTCTGGGATTTTTGGCTGTCAATGGATTTTTTTTTCTGACTGCCGAGATATGGTAAACCAATTATGGAACACTGGCACATGAACAAAAATTGTTTGGGGGGGGGGGGGTAATTTAATTTGAGATGAGTTATGCTAGTGCTGCGTGACGTCTGCGTTTGCCGTTTACATCCGCACGGTTTACCAGTTTACTGGGGCAAAACAAGCACCGGGTTTTGCAGAGTTCAGCAATGCAGCAATGGAGTCGACGGATGGCTGAAATAACTCAAGTTCATTCACCTTTGGACTGCAAACTCCTGTCCGGTGTGCTGCAGAGAAGTTTGCAGAATTGACCAAACAGGAGGGAGGCTAGTTTGTCATCGCCAGGATTTGGGTTAAATTTCATCCTTCAAGACTGCAGGAGTGTCAGTCAGTGTTGGATTTGGGCAGACAATATTGGTCAGGGAAGGACCAACATTTAGCAAATTTCTGTGCTTAGGCCTAGGGTCCTGTCTGTGGAAAAAACCCTTGCGCCCAGCAAGGGTCTATGATATGCGAGCAGATTTGGCAGTTAATTTTTTTCAAAACACGACCGCGTCTCGATCTCCAGATTCTGACCATTCAGCGGGGGCATTCTTTGGGTCTTCTGTAACCTGTAAAATGGTACCCAAATTGACCAATCAACGGCTTAGTCCGCATTTCTGATCGAAATGACGGCACAATTTCTAAAGTTGACTCCGATTGGCTGGCATACTGGGTTGCATAAAATTTGCATGCCAGGATATATCGGATGTTTGTCGTGTGGATCTGCACACATGAATGTCTCATACTCGGACTAGGGTCCTGTTCGGTCGGAAAAAAATATCCCAATACCAGGAAAAAAGTAAGAGGAAATAGATGTGGGCGGGTTTATGTTAGCCGATGAGAACACTCATTTGCACGCCAGTTTTCATTGGTTGCGAGGAGTTAACCATTGAACACTCCAGACTCAAAAACCATTGAGTTTTAAGTAAACAGTTCAGGGAACTAGGCAGGCTAATGCAAGAAGTTCCTGGATTTCTGCGTCCGCCAATATGAAAAAGAAGGGATTCAGTTTATTGTGACCTTAACCACAGATCAGGAAAATGGTTTCATCTGAGGTTGCCTATTTTCCATACAGCTTTGCCCTCAGAACCAGGATGTCTGGAGCTTGTCTCCCCCCACCCCCTTTCAGCTTTCTGTTTCCATACATGCAGCACGAAGGCAATAAATCATGCAGTTTATAGCGGACTTTTAAACACATTAAACCACAGGCTTAGCAGTTTTAATACATTGCTCCACCATGTACCATGAAAGAATGTTGGTCTAGCGTGAGATCCATCCACTGGCATGGTATGTGTCATTATTAATACTGTGAATTTGGGATGAAACATGCTTCGCATTTACAGACAACCGGAACCTTCATTTTCATACCTCAAAACCCAAGAGAATGAACAAGAATGAAGAGCATAAATAAGAATGACGGGAATGTGCTACAGTAAGGATGTAGTGATTCGGGGGGGGGGGGGGGGGGGGGGGGTGAGTTTACATGTACATATCTGCAATGACTTCAAAAATAAGAAGTAAGCAAAACATATACTCAGATAATTATAGGTACAAGTTGATCATCATCAGTGCAGAGTTGCAAGCAACGTCCTTGCGATGGATCATCACAAATACAAGTAAATCACAAGTCAATTCTGAAGTCCAGTCACAAGTAACAGAAGACGAGCAATAACAAAGGAATGCTTTCGTCCAAGTTCATTGGATAAGCTTTTGAGTAGACATGGGACTGGTCTTGAGGTCTTAATGATTGAGTTATGATTGATTTGTGATGACTTGTGATCATCATAGTTACTGTGAATACGACACTACTAAACGACACTTCCTAGTGTCAGAGATGTTTAACCCCGACCTATTTTTCAAATTACAGCTCTATCATCCCCCCCCCCCCCACAACACACGCCATGCCTTTTAAGTCCGGTTGTCTATAACTCCATCGGGCGCCCACAAATTCACCGTTCATCATTGCCCATCACATAGTCATGTCTCTCAGACGACTTGACACCCCCCCTCCTATCACAAGCTTGAGTGCGTGCCTGAAGAGCCGACATTAATGTCGCAATAACGATTGCAGCACCATCTGTTTGGAACATGAATGGTTAGGCCTCGGGCCCCGTCTGACACTATGTTGTAGACTTTCGACCCCGTGACGGATCGTGTTCCCCTGACGGTTTTCATGTCACGTCCGCCAGTCTCGGAGAAACACTTTTGGGGGGCAATTTCAATAGATTCTGAGGCTAGAAGAATCCTTTTTGTTGAAGATTTGTGCTAATACCAACCTTTTTTTTAATGTGGTAACAATTCGGAGTGAATAAATTACATCCTACCTCTAGAAAAGAACTTTACTGTCACAATATATTTTTTTTTTCCCTTACATTGAAAGAAGTGGGAACCTTACCATAACGACAATCTGTTCTGAGGTTTACAGGGCTAGGGAACTTTCCAAAATCTTTCAATGTAAAAAAATTATTCTTTTTATTGATGAAAATTTGGGTTTTTGTTTGTTTGAAGTAAGTGACTGTGGAACAACTATGGCAAGAATCCTTTATGTGTCGCCTAAACAAAGTTTTGGGGGACACTTACTAGTCCTAAATTTACGTTAAAAAGTGTAGGTTCAGTTTTTTTTTGAAATGTATAACTTCTACATGCTTTCATGGATTTTAATGAAACTTAAGATGCAGCGACCCTTGGGTGGAGAGACACAATTCTTCCCCAGATTACTGAGGTCAAAGGTCATGTGGGGTCATTAGAGGTCATTGTTCAATTATGCTGCAAATGTTTCTTTCTCTACAGAACTTGATGGATATTAATGTAACTTGGATGGAGGGATCTTTGGGTGGGGGTTCATCACACATCTTGGGGGTTCATCACACATCAAATTGGAGATCAAAGGTCATCTAGGGGTCAATTGAGGTCATTGTTTAAAAATGTGCAAAATTTGACATTTTTAAGAAAGCAAAACATATAGGAATCGACCGCGAAAAAAGGCGACACGTGCGATCCGCGGATCACTTTTTTATATAGGTATTGGATATAAAAAAAAAATATTCTCAGTGTGATATTTGGCATATTTTTTTTGTATTAAATTTAATGTTGCTGAGTTAATCTTATTGTGTTAAGCAAATGTTTGTGCTGACAAGCCCCATGAATTAGGACCTTTTTGCTGAGGACTTTGGTGTTGAAGCGTTGTTGGTGCATTGAGAATGAGTTTGATTTTTTGTTACTATTATTTTTTTACTTTTCATTTCACTGTTTTAGGTCTTCCCCTATGAGGAGGTGGATAAGGGCCAGCCATGCCTGAGCTGCGGCGATCGGTGCCTAGGCTTCACGCCACACAAGTGGAGGTGAGTTGTCACTTCTCTAATAATTAGTCAGTCAGAGACGATGCCTTTGTCCAGGTGAGGCAGCATATGGCTATGGCTGGCCGTAATGCACAAGTGGCTTCAGCCGCTGCCATAGCCCTATGTGTCATTATAAGCCGCAGCCAAGCAATTTAGATGCAGCCTAAGGCTGTGTTTGAATCAACTGTTTTGTGGCTACGGCTCTTCATCATTGACACACTGCAGTGAATAAATCCATAGCCATAGGCAAACATATCAGTTTCAGACATGGCCTAATTGCCTGCAAACCATCGCAAACTAATTGCAGTTCAGGAAAGGACTCCGTGCATAGACGGTTGAGGGCGCTGTTTCACATAAGAAGGTTATCCTGTCTGAAGGACGCCTTTACTTCACTGGTTCACTGATGCCATTAGCCATTTACTTACGGAATCGATGTGTACCAAGGAAGGTGGGCCCATTTCGCTTTTGGGTTTTAAAAAAAAAACTTCTTGTGGTAAAATGTCCTGCTTAAGGACATCCCTCAGAAATTTTGCTAGGCTTAAAAGTCGGACCATTAAATGTGAAGTTCTCGTACACCTGCACTCAGCCCTGATACCGGTATTTCTCATCAATTTAGAAATGGCCTTACAAGACAGTATAAGGCCTATACCAGTTTTCCAAACCATTGCTTATGAACTTTTGACTGTTAGTATTTGGGGAAAGGTCAATACTTGATCTTATTTGAGCAAGAATGCCTGCAATTAGATATCGGAAGGTGTCAAAGTAGTAATCTGAAACTGCTTACTATTATGGAAGAATTCGGTTTGAGATGAATGATTCTTGCAAAGTCACACATCACATTATAATTTTGTATTCCGATTACATGGCATTTGAAAATAGGGTAGGTAGATAGGGAATTTTTTTGGGGGGGAGGGGTGAAATTTTATTGTTGTTGTTGATCATGTGTAGGTTTCTGCGTGTAGTCAAGGGTAAAAAGGTAGCAATTGATGGTTTTTTTTCTCCTCTCGGGTTGTCAAAATAGGGTAGGTAGGGTAACCGGAAGCAGAACTATTTGGGGGGGGGGCTAACATTATTATTTTTGGTTTAGCCATTGCTCATTGGTTTTGAGCTTATAAAATGTTCTACCATGTTTTGAAAAATAAATTTGTGTGGTTTAGTTTGGAAATGGGTCATCCTGTAAATTGAGGGTCCTAAGTGGGACATTTTTCCCGTCCCTGTTACCACTGAACCTTGTCATTTGCCATTCAAGTAGCATCATGAATGACTTCCAATGATTTTTTTATTTGTTGGGTAGGTACGCATGTAGAGTTTGCCATTCACAATCACTCTTGGAGGACGACTGCATTAAGGGGTTCCTCCGGAATGTTTAAAATCATGGAAGCCAGATGTAACGGGGACAGGAAAAACGTGGACCCCATATTTATTGAATGAACATCATATGCGATCATTCCTGACATTATGCGGCTTTTCTAAGTCAGTTTCAAGTACTTCAGTTCATTGGAAGAAGAAGAAGGAAAAAAAAAACAGCGACAGATTGATCAACAAATTTATCACCGATATCGACTCGTCCAGCATCCACCCCATATTCCTACAGTAATTGCAGCGATAATTCACATTGTCGTATGTCAACCTTCAGTTTGCGACCTGCATGTAGCTCTCCATACACAGTTTCCTCAGCTCTGGATGCCGTTCATCTGAAGTGTCCTATTTATTTTTTCCCCCTCTGTGTTTGCTTTTTTGGTTTTTGGAGATCTAATTTAATCTAAGGACCTTTTTTATCTCAGTGTCGGAGAGTAATTCGACTGGAGTGTAATGGATTGAAAGCTTTCGAGTGTTACTGATATCGGTCGAGACGAAGGGGCAAAATTACCCCCTTGTTTGTTTTTTTCCCAGGGAGTCAATTTTGGATTGCTTCTCTCCATTTTACCATCAATTTCCTGCCAATAATCTGTGTAAATATGCGTAGCCTGCACTCTGGTGAGCATTCTCCACAACAATGTGACGGGGATAAAAACAGACTTGGCGTGTCTGTTTTGCCCATCTTAGTGTTACTGTTCCCCATTCTAGTGCTGCTCGGTTTTTTGGGGTTTTTTAGGTTAAAAAAGTAGTAGGCATAGGTCTTGCAAGCCTTGAAAATTGAGATTGACTTTTTACTTTTTAATAAGGGAATAAATATGTGCTTGGCCAGTTTTAAGCAAGTATGTTTATAACCAGATAGGGGCCTGGTCGCCGATAATTGTCCGAGCTGAAGGCAAGGGCCGTTATCGGAGTCTAGGCCTGTTATCCGAGTCGAGGCCCCTGGCAGCTTTTAAACATACATGTACTTGTTTAAAATCAGCCAAGCACATATTTATTCTCATTCCTAAATGCATTTCGGTTTAGAAGTCAAAACAAATCAAAAATTCACAAATTGTCCAACACACTGCTGGACACGTCTATGGTATGTGCCTCGTGCACATTGTGCTAAAAAATGTCCTTATATGGAAATTGGCGCACACGCTGTGCATACTGCACGATGTGGTGCAGAACGCAGGAATTGTGCTAAAAACAAGCCGGTGTTTTATCAGCAGTTTAAAACCACACATGGCGGGCTCTCGACTAATAGGAATGGGTAAAATGTCTTAGTTATTTCTGAATGCAATTTGTAAGCCGTTTGTTATTGGAATAAGAAACACTTTGATAAAACATCTTTTTTAGTCGCTGTATTGGCCGCCCATCCTGCCCTACCTTTAAAACATGGCTCTACTTTCGAACTTATTTCTGGCGGAGGGAGATATGTGTTTGAGTGCAGTACCAATAGGTTTGCAAATTTCCAAAATATACAGCAAATTTCAGCAGTGCTCAATATTGTTTACAAACCCCACCGGCTGTCAGGGTTAACTTTGAAGGCATATCAAAATTTATTGAGGTAAATAGAGGTATCTTTCGCATCACATTTCAGGTACAAAAGTACACCTCCTGTTCTGGTAAACAATTTCTAGCAATATTTCCCTCAATAACACTTCTGTCGTGCATCCTGCTGTCAGATGTGAATCCCCCACCCCCTTCCATCAAAGAGAATGATTTAGGGCTCTCAAGGACCTCAAAAAGTAAATCATTCTGATAACATTCCGGGGCATCTGGGGAAGTTGTCAATTTGGAACATTAACCCCACAATCAGACAATCTGTAGCTCTTATTTGTCGGAGCCAGTCACTGTAAATTTGAAGATGTGATCGCGTGACATCCGTACGCAAACAGCGTATCTTCAGTATCAGCATTCAATCTCAAGTGGATGCTCTAAACCAATCATTTGTGTTTGACAGGTCTGACGGAGAAGTGACACAGAATGTATCTGAACTCATGTGATAAGTGCATAGCTTTCTTTTTCTGTGGCCCAGAAAACAAACACTACCTAGCCCTCCCTCAACGGCTAAAACCTGAGGTTTCCCTCGTCACTTTTGTCAAAACAGATAAACTGAAATCTTTCTCGTGGCAGAATGTCCAAGTTAAACCCTCCTGCTATTTAAACAGTCACAGACAGTCAGAATTCACTTCCACTTCCCCTGCTATACTTTCAACAAAGGCTAGTCACCAGCAGTCATATAATACGTCAAGCAAGCACTGTGACTAGTCAAACTGGGTCAACAGACAAAGCAGGCAAGTTGTGGCCACAGCTGTTTTATCACTCACCCGGAGTCAAAGCATAGCTGTATCAAGTAACATAAACAGTCCCAGCCAGTCAATCCTGCTTTACTATGCTGGCAATTCTTAACTATTGAAAACCGTCACTTGATTGATTTTGACTCAAAAGGCCTACTTGGCACAGAATGTACGTTTGCATAGGAGGGTTAAACATAACTTTGAAAAGACATTTGAAACTGGATTGAAAAATCCTTCCCTTAGGTTATTATTTTTCTGTCGGATTTCTGCAATCAAGTTGCAATCAAGATTACAGGTATAGATTTATTACCTTGTCAAGTGCCCACGATGCGTAGAGGAATGATGCATCATTACGCACCAAATGACGTCCATATGTGGTTTTCCTTCTGACGTACTTTGAGGTTATGTCTGGCCACATTTTCCCAGGATGTTTTTTCAGATATTTTTTTTTAACAAAGATTAATCATTCAATGACTCTGCATTTCTTAGTGCAGTTTCAAAATACTTGAGCCCTATAGTGACATAATTGGGGGGTGGGGGGAAGGGGGTTCATAATTTTCAACTGAGGGGTAGTCATTGGCTGGTCATGCTTCAAAAAACACATTTTCTCCTTCTTAGTCTGAATTTGGTTGCAACAGGGAAACAGGCAGCGCAGGCCATGGGTAGGGAGTGTTAGAATCAGATCTACGTGTATGCTAGCAGAAAACAGAATTGCTGAATGAAGAAGTTCAAAAGTTGTGCCAAGTTCTGTGTTCCTTGGCACTATGTTACGTCAGTTAGTGGTACCGCCTATGTTTCTCAGTCGTAATTACCGTACTTCATAATTTCACAAACCCAACAAGCATTCTGTTGGGGTAGTTAGGTCAGACAAGCATTCATCAAGCGAACGACGTCACTGCATGTGTACACAGCGTGCGGACTACCAGCCGAGACAATGAGCTATGTATCTGAACTCAGTGCACCTGTCGTACAGAGCCCGGGTCGTAAATACCAGGGCGATAATTGCTGGGATTGGCCACTGATGGCATAATCGGCACGTCACTGCTCTAGTTTCTGATACCATGGATTGATAGGGGGAGGGGGGGGGGGGGAACCAGTACTCCAAGACTTGGAGATTAACAACCAAGCAAACATGCCAAGTTGTAGCGTGCAGTCAATCGTGCTCAAACATGGTCATGTGTGCCGTCCTTCAGATGAGCTTGTGATCCACACTAGCGGTTTTGTTGGAGGATGTTTCCAAAAGATCACTGGGGAATCTGTTGCAGAAGTGGCAAGTGATGGGCCCCACTTTCATGGCTCTACTAACCACAGACTTATGTGCTTTTGATCACAATTCTACGCTTATAGCACTGGCGCAGGAAT